GTGTGTGTGTGTGTGTGTGTGTGTGTGTGTGTGTGTGTCTGTAGAGAGAGGAAAACCTCAAGCCAAAACTTTTCCTGGAAGTCAGCTTTGAATCAAACAACACTTCAGCCTAATTAGTAAAGTACGTCTGCCTTGAGCATTGTGCTCTCTCAAAGATTTATGTATGTGGGATCAAACTGACAACAGCATCTCGAAAGGTTAGATGAGAATCTTAAGGGGCAGCAACTTTACCGTAACGGTGGTGAACGATTTGGAAAAGGATAGCGAGAATGGTTGCACAACTTGAAGAATGTAAACTGAATTGTACATGTAGAATTTGTTGAAACAGTGTATTCTTTGTTGTGTATATTTTCACAAAAAAAAAAAAAAAAATTAAAAAGAAAATCTAAAAATGCAGGCCAGCAAAGAAAATCTTTCTTTATATGATTATAAAAGCAATACACACACCTGGAAGAAAGTTTAGAAAATCCAGAAAAAGCCTAAAGGAGAAAATAAAAATTCCCTGCACTCCCCCATCTCTTTTAACATTTTTGTGACTTTTCTTTTAGACTTTTTTCAGTGTAGATCTCTGCATTTAATAAGTGGGATCATTACACATGTGTGTGCACAGACACACACACACACTTTTCTGAATTCACTGTTATTTAAAAAGACATGATTTTAAATGACTACACAATTCTTTAGTGTATAAATGTACCATAATTTATTTAATCATTCCCCAAATTTGGACATTCAGGTTGTCTTTTAGTTTTCTCCAATTATATGAAAACAGAACAAAACAAAGAAAACCTCAAGCCCCCCCAAAAAAACTTCTTTGCATATATCTTATGACAAGATATATTTTTGACTTAAGAAATGTATTTTAATTGCATCTTCTCATTCATGAGAAATGTATTTCTCTACATGCCTAATGCTCCCAGGACCGCTGCAAGATGCGTGTATGTGAAAATTTGATTTTGAAAATGGGTGAATTGCGGAGTGATGGTTAAAAAAAAAAACAAAAACGGTTCTCCTTACAGAGAGATTCATCCTTTAAATAGCAGCTGCTCAGTGTGTTGAAATGTTGCTTGCAAATATTTATCTGTTTGAGAGTGTTTGGGGGCAGGGCCGGAGGGTAAAGAAAAGAATGCCAAGAGTCTGTCCGCATTACAAAGAGAGAAAGTCTTTCTAAAATAAGAATGTAAGGGAGGAGCATAGGATTTAATTTACAAAATTGTAGAAACTCTACCCGGTAAATTTATGGTAGATAATGAGGGCTTCTTTGATCTCCCTCGATCTGTTTCTGAGGTTACAAACTGGCAGCTTGTGCTCTGGCCAGCAAGCATGTTTTATTTGGCCACATTTTTTTTTTTTTTTTAAAGCGAGCAAATGTTTAATAACTGGGAGATTTCACATGAAGGTCTGGTTTCTGACTTCTCTTGAAAAACCAAAGGATCTGGTAGTGCTGGGTCCCCATTGCTGGGTCTCCACTGCCTGGCAGCAAGTAGCCAAGAAGAGGCTGCCTGCTTAAGATGAGTGAATGCACTCTACAGTTTTGTCTCTGTCCCCAGCTCTCTGTGTTGTACCCTGAATTCCATCTTGCTTTGTTCAAGTTCTTTATCTGCCTGGCCCTTGTTAGAATCAGAGTTTGCAACCCCTGATCCATTTTAAAAAAGTGCAAGATGCCCAGATTAGGAGTGAAGAGCCCTGAGTCCCAGTCTTGCCTCCATCACTGGGGCAGGGCGTCTGGGGAAACCATTTAGCTTCCGTGGGCCTCAGTATTCTCATCTGTCAAATGGGGTTGAAAATAATTGAATCACTACCTGCTTCACGAAAGTATAATGAGGATCAAACTAGATAATCTATTTAAGAACGTTCTTGTACAGACTGGTACTGTTGGTCTCGGTTACAAACAGAAGGGTCAGGCTTGGCAGCAGCAGGCCCCAGCTGCACTGCATTCCAATTGTCAGCTGTTGTGGGACCCATCTGCCAGGTGTGCAGTTCAGCTCCTGGGGTCATTGAGGGTGGCTGCTCACGGGCGATGCTAATGGTTTAGAAGGCGTCCCGGGAATCTGCTTCCCAAGCTTCTACATGTCTTGTCTCTCTGCTCCAGGTGGACAGCTGGGCCCTGGGTGTGTTGCTCTACACTCTTGTTTATGGAACAATGCCCTTTGATGGTTTCGATCACAAAAACCTCATTCGGCAGATCAGCAGTGGAGAGTACCGGGAGCCCACACAACCCTCAGGTGCGTGCCCTGGGGTCAGAGGTTGGGGGTGGGGGAGTGGTCAGCTTACGTGCCCTAGCTCACACTTTCTGCTTTTGTTTTAGTATGTCTGTATGGACTCTCTTGCTTCTCCTCTTTCTTCTCCCCAGATCTTTGTCTTTTGTCAAAGTTGGCTTGTTAGGCTGCTTTGCCCAAACCTTCTCAAGTGAACTTTTCAGAGCAAATACTTTACACAGCAGGCTAGGAGTCCTGTTTGCTTGCTGGGTGAACTTGGGCAAGTCACTTCACTTTTTAGACTTCAGTTTCTCCACTATAAATTAAAATCTTGGAAAAGGTATTATATGAATCCCTTCTAGTCTGCATGGAGTCCCTGGATGGTGCAAACAGTTAACATGCTTGACTGCTGACTGAAAGGTTGGAGATTCAAGTCCACCCAGAAGGGCCTCAGAAGAAAGACCTGGCAGTCTACTGAAAAATCAGCCATTGAAAACCCTATGGGGGCACAGTTCTTATTTGACACACAGGGGGTCTGTATGAGTTGGAGTGAACTTGACGGCCACTGGTAACTGGACCAGTCTGCATAGACAGATAAACCATCCCCACTAGACTGTAAGTGCCCTGAGGGGAGTGACTGCTGTCTTGTTCACTACTGTGCCCCAGCCCAGGGCATGGCATATGGGCACGATTACATCATCTATTGCTGCATAATACCTCTACCCTAAAAACCAAAACCAAACATGTTGCCATCGAGTCTATTCTGACTCATAGCAACCCTATAGTACAAAGTAGAACTGCCCCATAGGGTTTTTCCAAGGAGTGGCTGGTGGATTTGAATTGCCAACCTCTTAGTTAGCAGCTGAGCTTTTAATCACTGTGCCACCAGGGCCCTGCCTCTATCCTACTCCCCTAAAATAAGCTCAGTGGTTTCAACAACCATGTAATCCTCACTCGCAATTTTGTGGGTTGCCTGGGCGTTCTTCTGGTCTTGCCTGGGGTTTCTCTTACAGTTGCAATCAGATAGTAGCAGGAGCGGCTGCTGGGACTGAATGTTGGACACCTTGGTGCTCCTCCGTGGGGTGCTCTCTCCATGAGGAGCCTCCCCACAGCCTCTGTATCCAGGAGGGAGCCTGGACTTCTTACATGGTAGCTCAGAGCTCCAAGAAGGAGGAAGAAGAAGCTTCCAGGCCTTCTTTTTTTTTTTAATTTCAATAATATCGTATTGTGTTTTAGGTAAAAGTTTACTCCAGGCCTTCTTAATATTGGTGCTTAGAAGCCAGATGTTACTTTTTTAAATTTTTTTATTGTACTTCAGGTGAAGGCTTACAGATCAAATAGTTTCTCATGAAACAGTAGTACACATATTGTTTTATGACATTGGTTAACAACCCCACAACATATCAACCCTCTCCCTTCTCGACCTTTTCCTTTTGTTGAAAGTACACATAGCCAAAGATAAACCATTTCAAAAATTTCTACACGCACAGTTCAGTGACATCAACTACGCTCTTCCAGTTGTGCTGCTATTCTCACTTAAGATGAAGACTTACAGAACAAAATAGTTTCTCATTTAACAGTTACTACACATGTTGCCCTATGACAATGGTTAACAACCTCACAACACATCAACACTATCCTTACTCAACTTTGGGTTCCCTATCACCAACTTCCTTGCCTCTTCTGCCTTCTGGCCCTTGTCCCTGGACTGCTGTACCTCATTAGTCCCATTTGGTTTTATGGGGCTGTCCACTCCCAGGCTGAACGGTGAACCTCGGAAATAACTTCACCACTGAGCTAAAAGGGTGTCTTGGGGCCATACTCTCGGGGTTTCTCCAGTCTCCTTTAGGCCAGTAAATCTGGTCTTTTTTTTGTGAGTTAGAATTATGTTCTACATCCTTCTCCAGCTTTGTCCAGGACCCTCTGTTGTGATCCTGGTCAGAGCAGTCAGTGGTGGTAGCCGGGCACCATCTAGCTGTACTGGACTCAGTCCGGTGGAGGCCTTGGTAGCTGTGGACAATTAGTCCTTCGGACTAATCTTTTCCTTGTATCCTGTTCTTTTCATTCTCCCTTGTTCCCGAAGGGGTGAGACCAGTGGAGTATCTTAGATGGCTGCTCACAGGCTTTTAAGACCCCAGACGCTACTCACCAGGGTAGAATGTAGAACATTGTCTTTATAAATACTGTGTTATGCCAGTTGAGCTAGATGTTCCCTGAGACCATGGTCCCCACAGCCCTCCAGATAATGTTATTTTTGCTGTGTTCTGTTGGTCAAAGCAACCAAGGCCATAAGCTCTATCTTTTGATAGAGAGCAACATGCTTGCACAGGGAGTGTGTGTATGGGTGGCCATCTTTGGAAACTAGCTACCACAGGCCCTTCATGTATGTACGTGCTAGATATGTCTGTCTGTCTACCTCTCTCTCTACCTGCCTACCAACCTACCTACCTACCTATCTACCTATCTATCTACCTCCCTCTCTACCTGCCTACCAACCTGCCTACCTACCTGTCTGTCTATCTGTCCATCTATCGATCTATCATTTTTTTCAATAAGCCAACATATTTTTTTGGGGAAATTTAAAGGTGACCTCTATGGTGGCCTTACATGTTTCACCAGCTAACTAGTGCCAGCACAATTCCTGGCACATTATAAAGGCTCAGGAAATATTTATTAAATCATCCTATTTCTTCACAGGGGTACAAGTCACCCCAGTCCTTATTGCTTGACCTTTGCCAGCTACTCATCAGCCAACATAAGCTGCTGAGGGGAGGTGGTAGCTGCCCCTAGATACACTTCAACCCCAGTTGGGGAGAACACAGTTTGATCTTCAAAGTTAGTTTATAAGCTGTGTAAGTCATTTGACTGAGTACCCTCCTTAGGACTTTCCCCCAATTCTCTGAGAGCAGAAATTTGCAGGTGGGATTTTTCAGACAGGCTGTAAGCAGATAGCACATACAGATCAGCTCTCTGCTCTGATGGCTTCAGTGGAATACAGTTTATGTCAGAGAGGGAAAGGACTGGGTGTGGGTCTGAGAGCCTGGTGAAGGCCTTGGGGTGAGGCCAGCTTTAGGTGTGGCTGCTCTCACTGTCCAGGTGTGCCAGGTAAGTGCCGTCTGACCCAGAGGCCTCTGAACTCCTCTTCATCCTTCTCTATCTTCCTCTCTCCAATGGGGAGCCTTTTTCTCCCCATCTCTGCCCCACATTTCCTTTTTGTGCTGACATGCTCTCCCAGTGACTGTGAACACTTTGTGTTTATACATGCACACCTGTGGAAGAATCAAGAAAGCTGTGGTAATCTATACATGCTTTTCCTTTTGGAAAAGTGATATCCACCAAAGGAATAGTGAGGCCTGCTTGGGGTCGGATCTGGGATTCTTCTGCTGTTACTTGACCCTCTCCATTTTCTAAAGATCTGAGTTGTTGGAAAGGTCAGTAGTTCCCTGACATTCTTTCACTAATATGGAAAACATGCAAAGTTTGACAGTGCACTGGCCTGTGCTTCTGAGGCTCTGAGTCTTGGTGATGCTTTTGATGTTCAGTCAGGAAGACTTTGTCTTTCTGCGCACCAGTGTGGCTGGGCCAGGGCTCCCCCTGGATTGTTCCTAAAGTGAGCGTGTCTGCATGATCACTCTGACAGGGTCACCCCATCACAAAGTCAAGCCTAGAGCTTCCGTTAATGCCTTGTTCCTCTTGTCTTTTGCCCACTAGATGCTCGAGGGCTCATTCGGTGGATGCTGATGGTGAACCCTGATCGCCGGGCCACCGTCGAGGACATCGCCAACCACTGGTGGGTGAACTGGGGCTACAAGAGCAGTGTCTGTGACTGCGATGCCCTTCGCGACTCTGAGTCCCCGCTCTTGGCTCGGATTATCGACTGGCACCACCGCTCCACTGGGCTGCAGGCTGAGGCTGAAGCCAAAATTAAGGGCCTGGCCAAACCTGGTGTCTCTGAAGTAATGCTGGAGCGACAGCGGTCACTGAAGAAGTCCAAGAAAGAGAATGACTTTGCCCAGTCCAGCCAGGACACGGTACCAGAAAGCCCATCCAAGTTGAGTTCTAAGAGGCCCAAGGGGATCTTGAAGAAGCGAGGCAACAGTGAGCACCGGTCCCACAGCACTGGCTTCATTGAGGGGGCTGTCAGTCCCCCCTTCCCCTCTGCTTTTATGATGGAGCAGGACTTATGCCGGACAGGTGTGCCCCTCACCAGCTCCCCTGAGGCCGAAGTGCCGGGTAAACTCAGCCCCAAGCAGTCGGCCACCATGCCCAAGAAAGGAATCTTGAAAAAGACCCAGCAGAGAGAATCCGGTTACTATTCCTCCCCAGAACGGAGCGAGTCTTCAGAGCTGTTAGACAGTAACGATGTGATGGGCAGCAGCATCCCCTCCCCCAGCCCCCCGGACCCAGCCAGGGTGGGTACTCACAGCCTCTCCTGCCGGAGGAAGGGTATCTTGAAACACAGCAGCAAATACTCAGCAGGCACCCTGGACCCGGCCCTCATCAGCCCCGAAATGCCCACACTGGAATCCTTGGTGGAGCCGGGCGCCCCCGCCGAGGGCCTCTCGCGGAGCTACAGCCGGCCTTCCAGCGTCATCAGCGATGACAGTGTCCTGTCCAGCGACTCCTTCGACTTACTGGATTTGCAGGAGAATCGTCCTGCCCGCCAGCGCATCCGCAGCTGTGTCTCTGCCGAAAACTTCCTCCAGATCCAGGACTTTGAGGGGCTCCAGAACCGGCCCCGGCCCCAGTACCTGAAGCGGTACCGGAACCGGCTGGGAGACAGCAGCTTCTCCCTCCTCACGGACATGGATGACGTGACTCAGGTCTACAAGAAAGCGTTGGAGATCTGCAACAAGCTCAACTAGCTCACCGGGCACAGGGATTGGGTTGGGGACAAAGGAGGAAAGAGAGTAATGACTTGTGCTTACAGGCTGGGTCTCTCTTTGCTGGTCATGGCAGTAGATTCAGAAAGGATTGGTGCCGTCTTGCTTAGCTAAGCTTGTAGCCTTGAGCCAGCGCCTAAAAGGGAGAAGTGGGTTTGCTGCCAGTTCCGCCATGTTGTATTGGTCAAAGCAGCCAAGGCTATAAGTTCCATCTCTTGATTGGAGAGTCAGAATTTGGGTCCTCATTGACATTTGCTTTATGGCACCTCCTGGAGAACCAGCTGTCCAGGGGAGCTGGTGCTGGCCAGCACATAGTGGGTTGGGAGGAAGCATATGGGAAAGGAAGCATTTCCCTAGCAGTCATCCAAATGCTTCTGGAGAAGGAGCAAGAGAGACTGGGGCCATCTGCTTTGGGTGAGCCCAAAAAACTTGCTCCTTCTCACTTCATATTAGCTGGCTTGTTCTGACTGCATGGGGCTGGCAAGTGGATTTCAACAACCTGAACTTGAATCAATGATTCGTTGATAGTGGCTGCCGTGTGTGTTATTTTGAGTAGTATTCTGATGTTCTGTCCAAGCACATAGAAGAAGAGAGCTGTGGTTGAATAGTAATGTCTGCCACAGAAATGGGAAGGGAGGCAGTGGTACTCACGCCATCCTTGGCCTGGCAAAGCCCTGGGAGTTAGCTTAAGGCATCCTGTGGGATATTTATGCCACCGGTGTGGCATTTGCTGATTAGACTCTACCCTGGATGGAAGACAGGGCCTTGGTCAGAGAGAGAAAGCTTTGAACTCTGCTGAAGACATAGAATCAGCCCTTGGTGATTTTTCAGCTTCTCCCTGCCTGCTTCTTCTCCTGGGGGTGGACAGGGAAAGAGATGGTGGTATCAGAGGTCAAAACTATGGTGTACAATTGAGCATGAAGACTCTTTGTAGTCTTTGCACAGATGATTGGAAGTTGATCCACACCTGCAAGGGGCCACTTGGTTTCTTTAATATCTCAGTATTAACTGGAAAGCTGCATATTGGGCTCTCACCTGCATGAATGCCTTCGATGGGATGTAATACTCACTGTCCATAGTTTCCAAAGGATTAACTGGTGCAACTATTTGCCCTGTTTACTGATAGCAAACAGTTTCCCTGTCCGAGTGTAGACTCCTCAGAGGTAGATGAGTTTGTTTCTAAGAAGTTAGCACGTAGTGGGATATAAATTTGGATGAAGAAAGGAAAATCAGGTAGAAGTTGCTTTTTCCCAAATCTAAGTGTGCTATTATCAGGGATTCAAACTTGGACGTGAACTCCTGGGCTTTGGGGAAAAAGAAAGTTCTATCCATTTAAATGAATAAGGTGTTGAAAGGGCAGAGTGGGTTGGGAGGAAGCATATAGAAGAGGAGCCTTTCCTTAGAAGTCTTCCATATGCTTCTGGTGGAGAAAGAAAAGAGGTGTCCCTTTAAAGTGAAAGATCCTCAACCTTAAAAAGTAACAATACTAGGTGTTTACTCTTTAACACCTAGATTACAGGTGACAAGACTTCACTCCCACAATGGGACATCTTTAGGATACTGGATTTGGAATGAACGGTCTCTTTGCGATGGCTTCTGATTCTATTGGCCTGGCAAGATTAAAACTTTTATTTCAAGATGGCTGACCTCTGATAGCCACCTAGATGTATAAGGAGGCCTAGTTTTGAGATTGTCTTTGGAAAAAACAACGAACAACGTAGGGAAATGAGAACAGATTCATCTATGGCACTAAGAACAGTAATTAGAAAGAACCTGTCTCTTCACTAAGGGGATAGTTCCGTCTCTCCCCTTTCCACCAGCTCTGGTGTTTTGGCTTGTGCATTTTTTCAGGTTTAGATGAGCGTGTATTATGGGAAGCTGCTTAATTTCTCTTCATTCAATTCCACCTTCTTCCTGAAATCCAGTAGAGGTTAAAAGGGAAAAATCTGTAGATAGCATATTGGGTACATGGAGGACATCCTGTAACCTCCAAGATCCTGCCTCCTTGCCTCCTTTATGCAACCTTTTCTGAAAGCCCAACCTATACTGCCACATGGCTGGCGCCTCACGCATGTTGGCTGGCCTGATGGGTAGCTGTCAGTATGACGTACGTATAACACCTACCTACTTGTCGATGTGGTTTTTCCTTTTGCCAAGTGATTGCACTTGTTTAGTATTTCCCATCTTTCTAATCTTTAGGTAAAAATGACACTAGTAAAAAAATCACTCTATCCCCTTTGCCCGCTCCCAAAACACAGGTGTGTTCTCTTTTGTTAATAAACTCAGACAGTAGATTGTGGCAAAGAAAGGACTCGACTCAAGAGGCAAAGGTTCTGGGTTGAGTCTTGGTCTGCTGCTAACTAGCTGGTGGCCTTAGGCCGCTGCAGTGTCTTTGGGGGCTTAGTTTTCCCCTCAGGGAGGGCTGGAGGGGTGCAGTAGACAGTCTCTCAGGTCCTGCCCAGCTCTAACGTTCTGCTAACATCCTCTGGTTCTAGACGTAATACTGACTCTGGCCGTTTCAAGAAAATACTTGGAAAGGGGGGGAATCCCTTTAAAGCAGCACCTCCGCTTCCCAACTAAGCCCTGCCATCCTTACCAACCAGTCCCCCACCAAGGAAGTCATGCTTGTTTTATTTCCATGGAATTACAAGTGAGAGACAGTTTCCTGACCCAGTGGACAAAGCAAAAAATTCAGTGTCAGCTCTCCTGCCCCCTTCCTTGCCTCTGTAGGCCTTTCAGTGTCTTAGTTTACACATCTGCCAAAGGGGTAGAATTATACTTTTTTTTACAGGTAAATTTCAAGGCACGATCAGTTTTCAGAAAGTGCTTCAAGACTCCAGGTGACATGAAAATGCTAAGTACGGTCTGAATGCGCATCCCTGTTACCAGGTGCTGCTTATTGATGACGGCGCACATTTCAGGGTGGAATTCAGGCGTGTTTTGCCTTGGCCTGCTGTCTTGAGTACAAATGTGAATGATCAAACTGACTGCTTGTTGCCAAACTGGAAATGTTCTGTAGGGGTTTACTGGCATGTTATCATTCCTAGAAGAAAAAAAGAGAAACTTGACTGCACATTTTTTTTTTTTTTAAATCCATGTTGTGACTTTTATTTAATTTCTTTTTTTTTTTTTTTTTGGTAATAAAAAGTTGACTTTTTTATTTGAATTTGTCTTTTTTTTATTTATTGGTCGAAAGGCATTTCAAAGGTATTATAATAATATATTGGTATAATTTAATTGGTGCAACATGCTTTATGGCTCCAGTCAAAATTGATTTTCACTCGTTTGATTGGTTTGAGCCCAGAATAGCCTACAGGGAAAAAAAGCTGGATAACCACCCAAAGTGTTTGTATTTTCATTGGAAACTGATTTTTGTTTTTCTCTCTCTCTCTTTTTTTTTTTTTTTTGGTTTTTATTTTTAAATTAAATAAATTGCAGTGAACTTAACTGAACTTCTGGAACCTTGCTTCTTTATTTGGTGTTTTCCTTAGTCAAGTGACAGAATGGTTACAAGTAACAGAAACCCACCCAAGCTAGCTTTAGCACAAAAGGGGGAAATTATTTGGCATTCTTAGAAGAGGAAATACAGCTGGAGCCGGAAATGGAAAAGTGGGTTCCAAGAGAACTGCTTGCTCACTTTTCTGCTTTTCTTTGCACACCAGCTTCATTCTTCTCCTTCCTTTTGTAGCTTGGCTTTCTCCTGCCTGATTGTGTGGTCCACCTTGTCTTTTACCATGACTTCCACTTTCCCCCAAGTGGCTGATTTTTCATAAGTAGATCACCAGGCCTTTCTTCTGAGGTACTTCTGGGTGAACTCGAACCACCAACCTTTGGATTAGCAGCTGAGTACATAAACCGTTTGGACCACCCAGGGACGCCCCCATGACTTCCAAATTGACATTTTCTCAGTTTTGGTTTCCGAAGGAGACTACTGACCAAGTTCCTTTCTCTGAACTAGAAACATCATCAAAGGTTAACACTCAGCCATGTTCTCTCCCCAGGCTTTTTCTTCTCCTGCCTGCTCCCTTCCTAGGCAACCCCCTCTCTCCCATATTATGATAAATTCTTAATCTGATTGGTTGACGCCGAAGATCAATGAGCCATATTTACTAATGGGCAAAGCCACTGCCCTACCTGTAATAAGATGGCACCTTGAGTCCCATTTTGTTCTTGTTCCTTATGTGAATGGACCCTCCAGGAAGCTCTTGGAAAGAGTGATGAATTATAGGATAAAACTGAGGATTCCTAGATCATTAGCCAGAATATCAAATAACATCAAAACCCTAATATCGAACATTAGAGACTCCTGCTCTATACCATATGAAACTATTAGGGGCTCCGTGCAAAGGAAAGTCTGACTTTCCAGAGAAATTACAAGTTTCACTTCTTTTCTGGTCCAGTGGAAGAATATCTGATACAGCATTGTCAGATTTAGCAAAAGAAACTACGGGACACCCAGTTAAATTTGAATTTCAGGTGAACAATTTTTTTTTTTTTTTAGTATAAGTATTTCCCATGGAATATATGAGTTATACTAAAAATTTTTTCATGTTTTATCTAAAATTCCAATTTAACTGGGCATCCTGTGTTTTATCTGACAATCCTAATCTGATGAGGCTTAATTGGCTAAATTGACAAGGTGCCAGTTATGGTAGGGGTTTAGGGAATGGATTCGTATAATTGTGGACTTCCAAATTAGGACGAGTCAGTGCTGCCCAAGCTGAATCAAGGGGGCAGAATTTCATTTCCAGTCTGTACTTGCTGATTGCTCTGATTCAGTTTTCTCATCTATCTAATGGGCATGTGACTTGCTACCCTAACTAACCCTAACAGGGCTATGAAGATGGAATGAGAGAATTTCTATGAAGTTGCCTTGAGTGTAAAACTCAGCCTGAGTGGGAAACGATAGTCCTTTCTTTACAGGGAAAAGTCCTGGGGCAAAAGCAAAGGAGACTACTGACGTTTTAATGCAATCTGCTCGG